CAGTGTGCTATTCCTCATCTACCTCAATCCTTTTATTTCTTTTGGTTTCCAGGTTTCCTATGAACAATTTAATTGGAGCAATTTTACTCTTTGTAAAAGCCACTGAGCTTAGTTTAATTGAACCAGACCAGGCCGAGTTTACAAATTACACTAAACCAAAATATGATTTGCTTGACTTAGGCTTGATTTGCATAAACTCAACTACTATGGGTTGTAAACCAGGATTGTGGTTTAGCACATGTGAGACCAGCCAACTGTGGCTTACACTGCAAACTAAAGTATATATCAGATCTGGTATACTTAAGAAACCTATCAAACTTGGACAGAAGATATTGACAACCTCAAATGCTCAGTAGAACTGCTTTCCTCTGTTTGGGCTCTGACAAGTTTCTCTGGTTTAGCAAATGTTCTCCAGAAGAGAAGCTGCTGGACGCCCTAGAAGTCTTATACATGTTATGGCTTGTGGTAATAAGAGAGCTGTTCATAACATGAATCTACTGTATTTGTTTCTGTTGTGGGAACAACATTCCTTTTTCAACCTTCAGGAATAATAACTCGGATAAAGTCTGAAGCCCTGATGCATTTCAAATAAACACTGCAAGCCCAGTGATAAGATAGCACCAGTTGCTATTGGTTCTGTAGCTTTGCCACAATTGTGCTTATTGTGCTTGTCTCTGGGCAAATATCTCAGGGCACCAATAAAGCAGCTGGCATTGGTGATATCCAAACAAGTTTTACAGCTGTAAACACAAATTCCATATGCTACAAAGGGGGCAAGGAGAAGGGCCAGCAAACTATCCATCTTCTTATTACATCATTTCAGGTCCATTTAATTCTAGTTTCAAACCTGAAATCACTATCTTACTCTGTACTGGTTATGATTTGAACAATATCTGAAAGGAGTCCAAAGGGTGCTTATTGTTTTACAATGATGCCCAGGCACTAGAGTCTAGACATAATATATATGTAGATTTTAGTTAGTGCTAGTGTTTTCTTTTTTCATCACTTGTTCTGCCTTTCTTCTTATTGCAGAATATCCACCAAACAAGGGGGGGATTATTTATTTATTACTGAATAACCCACTGTTGGCAAGATTCACACAGCTCTCCAAAATCAAAAGAGCAGAATTATGGCTTGGTGCTAAGGACCAATTTCTTTGTAGGGGTGGGTAAAAATATGTGTAGTTTGTCCCTGGAAAAGTAGACATTTTCCATCTTTTCATCAGTGCTACCTACTTTTTATCTCAGGGTCAGAAAAAATGAGACCACCAACGTTCCTTGACCTGACGTGGTTGTAAATCAGACATTTTCAGGTCAATTTAAGAGTACTTGTAGTGATTCTTAACCCTGTATGAAAATAAGCTTAGCTTTAGGCCTGTTGCTCCATGTTGTGATCAGAATTACAAATCTATAATATCAGAAAAATGGGTGGATTGACCACTGAAGGGGAAGAAAGGTAAAGTGAAGGAAACAATATTGCTCACATCGTTTTGTCTGCTCAGTTGGTGGAACAGGGTGAGAAGCCCTGAGAAGCACTACCAGCAATGTAGTTTGATCCCTGATAGTTTACTGTAAGTTCACTGCTAGTTTGCAAGCTTGCACTGCTCTGAATGATGGACTAGGACAGTGGTGGCGAACCTATGGCACGGGTGCCAGAGGCGGCACTCAGAGCCCTCTCTGTGGGCACGCACGCCGTCGCCCCAGTCCTAGGTCTTCAGCTGGGTTTTATAAAACCTTTTCGCTTTAGGCCTCCGCCGCCATGTGCAAAAAAAAAAGGTTCAATCAGTCAATTTCAACTTCTCACGGGAAAAAAAAGATCTTGCAAAGTTGGAATTGATTGATTGAACTTTTTAGTCCCACCCAGTCTGCCGTTACCACCGCAGCCATGCCCACCCAATTGGCCACACCCACCCAATGGGCCACACCCAGCCAATGGGCCACACCCAGCCGGCACTCAACGATACATAAGTGGGTTTTGGGTTGCAGTTTGGGCACTCAGTCTCTAAAAGGTTCGCCATCACTGGACTAGGAGCCTTCTGTTGGGAGTATTGTAAGAGTACCAAGCCATAGCAAGACAACATAATTCCACTTCTGCAGCAAGATGGAGACATATTGAAACATGCAAATATCACAGAACAGATTGGCAGGTATATAACAGACAGGCATGGCATTACTCATTCCATATGAATTCACTGAAATTCCACTCTCCAGAAGTATTTTAATATATTGCTGTCATAAACCACAAATGTACTTGAAGTTTTCTTAAAACTGCAACCCAGAGTCATAGCATTGAAGTCGAAATGCCATTTCAAAAAAATGATATAGATACCAAAGCTATAAAACAAAACTGAATAAGAGCTCACCTTTATAAATATCCCTAAATTATTATTTGAAATATTAATCAGTATTTGTGATTTATTAGTAGTTATTGCTTTTTTAAAAAATAGATTATTTTGTTAGGCTATGAACAAATCTCTGTTTATTGTCTGCCTGCCTGCCTAAATATTTGTTTCCTATAGAAGGTACTGCCTGTAGAAAATGTTGTTCAATTCCTATCTCTGCTGGACCTTAACAGGCCAGGTTTCTGCTACATGGGTGTATTTTTTTCTAATTTTAGGTACTGTACTATTAAATGTTATGTAACTTCATATATTATCACATTCTGTATAAAATTTAAATGTACCTTCACATTTTTGTAATTTTAGACACAACCTCTTTTATAGCCTAGATGTAGCGTGTTCTTTTTGGATTTTACACAGTGGTTCTACTGTAGCCAGTTTGTATTATAGATGTATTTTAATTTTATCTCAAGTTTAATTTACTGGTTTCTTGAGATAGATTTATAACTGTTCAGAAATCACTCATGGACATATTTGTTCCGGTCTTTCAATGCAATAAACTGACTAACTGAATTCTTATCTCACTTTGGCTCTTTGCAGAAATCGTAGAAAGGCACTGAGCACTTATTTTATAGAGGAAGTCCTAAAGTTAAGAAGTTGCAATTTCTAGAAGACCTTTAAGACGGAGCAAGGGTTTGAACACAAGTTTATACAGGTTTCCTCCCTTTTTCAACTGGGCTGAGCTGGCTGTCTGATCATATTTTAATCCAATGCTGGATCTGAAACTTAAACAATCCTCATGACTTGGCAGTTCATGCTGATATCAGGGTGGAGACATGCTATGGGGCTCAGTTGATAAACATTGTTCCAGAAACTTACAGTGTTTCATCACTGACTGGAATCCTATTGAGTATGACTGTATAATTTCTTTTCAACATAAAAAAGTATTTTAAAACTATCTGAGAACCATTATTTAAAATCATCTTGTGAAGTGGAATGAAAGGCTGGATTATGCTTTTGCATCCATCAGGTGATATTAAAGTAACATGAGAAATGCTTTCAAATGAATTTTTATATTGCCACAATTACAGTTGGAACGAGGACCAAAAGGATGTGGATCTCTTTTATTTGATACCTTCCAATTGTGCTAAAATAAGCTGCCGTTTTTGTATCCCACCATATAATTCTGCCATTACAACTTTAGTAAAACAACATACAAAGAAGTCATAGAAAATCAGCTCTGCTATATTATGGTACTAGAAAATGAATCAGACCCGAGTTTGTTTTCATTTTGCTTAATACACTGACCATCTAGAACCCTTTCTTATATTTTTCCACAATAATGTTAATATATTCCAACCTCTTGTTTCATAACAGATCCTTTTAACCAAAAATAGCAATCAAGCGGGACTTCTAAATAGGCCATTCTTTTCTCTAGACAGTCAAAGAATTGAATCAGGTTAATGCAGTAAAACGTTTTGGAAAACTTGAACATTCTGATATGCTTAATGTTTGTTTACTTGGCAGCATACTCGCATAAAAATATAGGGTGATATTTAGAAAATTCAGATACTCAGAACGCTTAGACATTTCAGATCAGAAGTTTTGAAATTTAGCTATGTTTTTGAATACAGAAATACAGAATAATTTGATTGTTTATGGTTTGATAAAAGTCAGGCAATGTTTTACTTCTCCTTTTTGTACCTGGCCAGAAATATCCATATCCATATGATTTGTTAACAGCATCTCTGTGTATACATGGTATGACTTCAATAAAGTGCTTAATGAGCAGCCTGTCAAGGCTAAGATCATAATTTGTACAAATATCCTGTTCTTTCATATGACATTTGTATCTAATTCCAAGGTACAAAAGGCATAATAGTACTATGCCCTCACTGTAAGCTTGTAATTTGTGGGTGAGAAAAGAAAACTTTATGTTTATGCTTCTAGGGCTAGGCAGTTAAATTTTCAATATGGATGAGAGATCCTGCTGTTAAACCTTATATCAAATTATCCTAATTAAAGTCAAGGAACAATTATGGCCAACTGCTCTATTTGATGATATAGTGATTAATTCCCAGGATTTCATATCAGAAAATATTTAAGAAAGCTTTCTTCTACTGTAATGGGGGAGGGGAGAGGGGAGGGGGGAAAGAGAGAGATATGTTGATATCTCTTGCAGTATTTGCTACTGAAATGCATATACCACTGTGGCCACCCAGGCAAAGGATAACTGCGAAGTTCAGAAAAAAGGCTTTCATAAAACTCAGCTTCTCCTCTTGTTACGAACTGGATGCTAGAAGGTCATTTGATAAAAACTCCGACCAGAGTGGTAGAAATCCCAACCGATCCATATTCGGCAAAGCTTTAGAGTTGTATTAAAAACTGAAAATAAAATCTCGAGGTTTCCCTCCCCGAGGCAGAGCGTTCCCATAGCTCAGGAAATTTGCTGTCCTGGATCTTTAGCATTAAGGCGAGGGATGGGTTGTTATGGCACACCGACGGCACTGAGAAAATGCTGCCCTTTCCCCCCGTTTTCTATACCGAACTTCCTCCAAGGCTGAGTTTCAGCTGCAGCGCTCCCTTTTCCAAGTAAGCAGAGTGCGAAGCGGGCTTGCAAGAGTTTCTCCCCGTTTGTTGGGGAGGCAACTATAGTACTCACCTCCGTTGGATCAGGCAGGCGGACCCTCCTGCTTCGCCGGTCCTTGTAACACTTTCCCCGCTCGCGATTCCCCCGTCCTCTTCACTCGGCCCAGAGTCCTGCCATGGCTCAGCCCTCTTTCCTGAAAAGAGCAGGGTTGCCGTCGCCGCCGTCCTTTTTTCTTTTTTTTTTTCCCCGGGCGCCGCTGGCTTCTCCTCTTTTCTCGGCGTCCGGACGAAAGAGCTTCGCCGCGAGCAGGTGGAAAGGGGGCGGCTTTCTTGGCTCAGCAAGGGAAAGAGGCGGGGTGGTGGTGATGGTAGTGGTGGAGGAGGAGTTGTTATTGTTGTTGCCGCGGCCGCAGCCACAGGTTACTCCCTTTCCCTGTCAGGCCCGGCCTGGGATCTCTGCTGAGTGCCGGCCTGGCCTCCGCTTTGGAGTCCCGTTTTATTCCCCCGCGATTTCGGGGAGGGGAGCGATGCCTTCTCTGCGCTCCCCTTTCTTGCCCTTCTTGGGAAACTTTTTTCACGCGGGAGGAAAAGTGAGCTCCCCCCCCCCCCCCAGATCTTTCTTGCTATCCTAAGAAGCCGTCACCATCACCACCACCACCCCGCTAGTCCCGGCTGGAAACGCCGCCGCGAGCCCCAGGCTGCTGCCGTGAAAGGCGGCTCCCGGGCTGGAGCGCGGCGTGCCAAGGCTGCTCCCGAGGGGCATCGTTTTCCAGCCTTGCCGCGGATCCTGGGCTCCCCGGGGCTCGTTGCACCGCTTAGATCTGGCCCGTGGATCCTCTGCCTAGCAAGGGCCTGAGTCGAGGAGGGCGGAGGAGTGCTCGTGCAGAGCCCGGGGTGGTTCTGATGGAAGCGGGGAGAAGGCTGCCTTTCAGCACAGCGGGCCTTGGCCTGGACCCGAGTTGGAGGCGGTGGGGAAAGTCACAGCCCAAGTCTAGTCGTGTTTACTGAGAAGGAGGCCGGCTAAAGTTGACGCCGTTAATTTCTCCGTAGAAGCGGCCTTGCTTTTGCTAGTTTCTGTATAATAGCTGAGCGGACGCCGAGCAGAGTCAACTTCGTTACAGTTACGTTTAGATGGGAGATGTGTAGGGAGACCAGGTTGTAGATTAAATTCTACTGGGAAGTCAGAGGAACGTCAGTATTGGTGTCAAGAAAGCACGAAATCACCAGGAGTTAAATTCGGAGTGACTTCATTTTTAAGTGGCCTGCCAGCTGTTGATCATCTTCTACCTACCACAAAGAAGAGGTGAGCTGGATGGCTCCCTTTGCACTTCCTTAACATTATCCACGATGCATGTTTATTATTGACTGGAAACCCCATATGGATCTTTTGTGTGAAACAGAAAAAAATGAATTTATGACTTATAATTTGGATTAGACAGGACAGACTACAGAAAGATGAGAGTGTATTGTAATCATAGAACGAGAGGTAAATTTATAAAGACCCCAATTTGTTTGAAAGACTTAACAGACCAACAGAAAATGGCACATTCCACATTTATTTAGTTCCTGCCACTGACAGGAGGTGGTAAACAACAGTGAATAAACACCAACGCACTGCTTATATATGATTAAGCATCCTAATCTGTAGAGGAGTTTGCATCAATCCTTGTTTGTTCTGATTTGCAATTCTTCTCCAAATTCAAGGATGAAAAAAAGTTTTCTCCAATTTGTCACAAAGGAAGGTGCTGTGGTTTGAAATTGAAGTATTGTACATGTATCTTTTGGGGGGACAGTGCTATTATGGTGCTGCTTTTCCTGGGTGATGGGAGCATTGAAAAACTGCCATAAGGCTTAGACAGAGCCTGATTGCCAGCAATGACATGTGTCCTTCTTCACTAAGCAGCAATTTGCTCTTGCAAATTAGAAACCAATTTGATTTTCATTATATAAGCAAACTGCTGTTCTCAAACTAATAAGTTACAGTATGCTGTTCCAGGAAAGAAAGAAGGAAGGAAGTTAATTGAATGACTTCAAAGACTGTGATATCCAAATAAATGCATGTCAAAGTGCCTTATCATGGCTTCTTGATACCAATAGCAATATGAATTGTTCCTGCATTCCCCCCCAGAATCCTTTTAATTTGCAAGGGAAGAATGATTGTGCTCAGAACATGTTAAATCAATAGATTTCTTAAGGGTGCAATAATAGATCTAGAGTGACATACAAGAGACCCACATGATTTCAGTGCGTGAAGGAATTTGAAGAGTGTGGGAAAGGAGATGCCTATGCTACATAGTGCCCAGAGTACACTTTGGGGATTTACAATCCAACTCAAGCAGTGGAGACTCTGAAAAAAGGACCTGAAATCTTTTAATTCTAGGCATACAAATTCTTACTCTTCCAGAATCAGATTAGTGGATAGAACAGATTTATTTACATTAATATATAATATCATACAGTAGATGAATCAATTTGCAATATCCTCATTTTTAAATGCCTCTAATAAGAGGTGGAAGAGCTATAGTTGGCAGATTCCCAATTCCAGAATAAGCTTGTGTTTATTGCATTATCTATGATCTGAAGACAGAAATTGTATCTTTTGTAGGCTGATTTGTGTGTGGTCTGATCCTATTTTCTGCACATTAAGACTTTTCAAAGCCCACAGAACATATTATTGAGGTGAAGAGAGTCCTCCCTTAAGTTGCCTTAACCACCTATAACTTACTATGTTGTGGAAAGAAATTTGCTTACTGCATCTTATGAAATCTAGTACTTTATTTTAATTTCCTTAATCTTGTTTGGTTTGAAAGTAGTAAAAAAGTGCAAAACAACATAGCTTTATCTCTATAGGACATCTTATGTTTTTTCCCTTTAAAGCAAAAATTAAAATTAAGCTAATGATAGTAAAACCAAATTGTGTGTAGAATAAGGTTTTTTCCTTGAAGCAAACACCACCCAAAGGAAGATTTTGACATCTGAAAAGCATATGCTTCTTTATTTTTAATACAGTTTTAATTTAAACTTGCTTATCCTGTTCCAGAAGGGCTAGGCTTTTTAATTAGACACTTAAAAATGTTAAGTGTATTTAGCAATTATTGTGACTTCACCATGACAATTCATGTTCATACACACAAATAGCAGGTGAACATAGCATAAAAATATTTGGGTAAATATTTGGGTGACTCAGTTAAAATTATTTAAGGCTACAGTATTTCACTTTGATACAGGAAAGCACCACTAATATGCTTAACAATGCAAATCATTTTTTCCAATCTGATACTACAGTTTTCACATTTGGCTGGGAATTGCAGTTCCAAAATATCTGAAGGTTGCCTTAAAACATTTATGAAATGTTCTGTACGTCTATTTGATAATATTATATATGCCCTTTACATTAATTTTTGAGCTATTAAGATACTGCTTTGCTTTATATAGATTACATAAAAAGAATTGACAGTTCAGCAACATCCATCTGTAAAACATTTAATGCATCAGTATGAACAGTATTAATACTAGTATATACTATATAAACAACATGTGAACATATAAGCAATAGTTCTCAGTTTTTTACCTAGTGTTGGCTGTCATATGCATCACGTTCTTCCCAGAATGTAGCATGTCATAATGTATTTGTGTAGTATATATCTGGAACCAAACAGTGTGGCTTTTTTACAATTAATAGACATTTTGTCAGTGCATAGATTTTCTAAGTGTTGTCCAAGACTTTTTGGTAACATACACCTAGTTTGCCAATAAGCATGGGGACCAACATAACCAGTTTATGCTATAATATTTCAACTTCGATTTTCAGATCTTGATACTTTGCAATCTTCAGTTCTTTTGTCTTCTATCTTACTATCCCCCGATATTGCCACATCGATTATCTACACATTCTTCTTTAACTACAGTTAAATCTGATGTGTTATACAGTAGTTCAAGATTATCAGTTTGTCTTTGCAAAACTCACTTTTAACCTGCTCGCTTTCAAATATTTTTCCACTCTAGGTTTCCATCTATTTTTCATTACTGGCACATTATAATTTTTACAAATGTGCCTGTGAATCATTTTGGTGACTGTGTTATGTCATTGTTTATATTTTGTGCAATCTTCCTATCAAAAAAAAAAAGTGGATCCACCTATTCCGGGAGTGTTCTGAGAATTGCATTCAGCCTTAGTTTGCTAGGCTCTAAATTCTAAAGTGTCACATGGGAGAAACTCAGTCTCTCTTAAATGTAGGGAAGTAAAACACATATATGGTACTAATCATTTTTAAATGATTTTGAGTAATCAATAGATCAAGTTAGCAATCAAGTCAATGTTTTCATGATAGTAAATGATAATGAAAAATACTTATATAGATATGCACTTGAACATATGCCAAAATTCACAATTGTTGGGTTGGTAGGTGTAATTATAAAATTATATATCATTCCTCTTTTACTTGTTTCCAAAGTTTGGCTCATTCTGATTTAATCAGCACTCATTCTAATTAATTGAACATTCCTGCTGCATTGTTCTGAAATGTCAGAAATAATTATGTATGTTAGGCTTTCTCCACAATAATCTTCACAAAATCTTGAACTTCACTCTCTCTATCTCTGGTCCTAATACATGGATACAAAGCACTTCCAGAGAATCAGCCCTACAAACATGATAAATCTCTGCAATCAGATTTTAAATAATTCAAGGTATTTAAAGCTATAGGACTCACTAAACCCTAAACTTGACATTTCTGTTTCCTAATCACAGCTATGCCTTTTGTGCAATGCTCCATTATCTATAAGAACTTCATAATATTTAGCATAGAAAAAATGGACTTAATCTACATTCAACTACCATTCTGTTATCAGAAGAACAATAATAGTCATACATTATATGTACAATCTCTGAAATATGTATTAAAAAGATATAAAAATATAAATATAGTAGTTTTGGGAGAAAAAAAGTAGTATCGGATCTATATATGGTATCTGCTTTTGAAAAAAGCACAACACAAGTATTTACAAAAGACAACTGGAATGTTGCAAATTAACATACATAGAGAAAGATAAAAGGTAAAACAATTCATGTTATACATAGTTCCTAGAAAATTCAATTTGACCTGTGTATTTAAAGAGATATTTCCCCTTTAAAAAACAGCTTATTTGCCACAAACTTGCCAACTTCAACTGAAGCACAGGTCATTACGGTACATATGCTATGCTGAAAATGGGGCAACTGAGCCTGTTTTACCAATG